CCCCCGCGGCTGCTCAGCCCCTCCTGCTCCTGGGAGGGCGAGGGGCTGCACTGCAGCTGTTCCTCCCGAGCCCAGCCGGCCCCCACCCTGCGCTGGCGGCTGGGGGAGGGGCTGCTGGAGGGGAACCACAGCAACGCCTCCTGGACCATCACCTCCAGCTCTGCGGGGCCCTGGGCCAACAGCTCCCTGAGCCTCAGCGGGCCGCTGGGCTCCGGCCTCAGACTCAGCTGCGAGGCCCGGAACGCCCACGGGTCCCAGAGCGCCGCCCTCCTGCTGCTGCCAGGTCCGGGGGCTGTCGGGGGCCGAGGTGGAGGGGAAGGGAGTCTGGGTCCTAGAAAAGATGGTCTGGGTGGGGCTGGGGCCTGCAGGGGAAGGGATGAGAGAGAGGAAGTGTGTGTGGGGGGGCAGAATCCTGGTTTCCTGCTGGTCGGGGGCTGAAGAACTGAGAGCCCGAGTTCCTTGGGAAGAGGGGGCACCAGGGTCCTGGGGCTCGGAGGGAACTCACCCGAAACCCCACTCACCTGCAGGGAAGCCTGAGCTTGGATTCGTTCTGGGGACTGTCGGGGGCGCTGGTGTCACTGGCCTGCTCAGTCTCTGTCCCTGCCTCATCTTTTTCATGTGAGTGTTGCCCCTGGGAGAAAGGGTGAGTGTGTGGGGCGGAAGGGGTCCGAGTCCTGGGGTCCCGGGCAGCCCCAGCCGGAGGAGCCTGGCTGGTGCCCAGGCCCTGAGAACTGGGGATCCCAGCCATACCCATTCTCACGAGTCGACAGGCTCTGTACGTCCCCTGTCAGCCTCTTGAGCCTGGGACGGTAGTGAGTCAGCTGGGTGGCTGACGGGTCCTGGCCTCCCCCTCAGGGTGAAGATCTGCAGGAAGCAGGCACCGGAGCCTGCAGCTGGTGGGAAGGATGCCGCCTGCACGGTGGGTCCCCTCTCCCAGGTGAGTGATGAGTCCTCTGTCCATCAGGATGCCATCTAGCCACCACCCCGGGGATGGCCACGGCCACACCCCTCTAGATGACTTAGATGGTCGTCATGCCCCAAACAGACTTTTGTTCCCAGGTCCCCGTGGACTCAGTCACCCAGGCCAGCTACCTGGGAGTCCCTCTCCCCTCTGCTCTCTGACGTCTTGCAGAGCTAAGGACCACTCACGTCTGTCCATCTTCCTGTGTTCACCTGGACCCCCCCCCCGCCTCCTCATCCCTTCCTGGACCCCAGACCCATTTTCCCCTCCTTCCTCTCTCTCCTCCCCCACACAGGATGCTAGAGGGATCACCCCAAAATGACAAAGTTCAGGGGCCCCCCAAAAGACACTCTCAGGTTCAAGAGCTCACCAGAAGGACTCACAGAACTCACTGGGATCTGTTATGGTCGTGGTTAGGTTATTACAGGGAAAGGACACAGATTACAGCAGCCAAGGGGAGAGCCACCTGGACTCTGCCCAGGGGCGTTCTGTGCACGAACCTTCCAGGTCTCTCTCCCAGCAGAGTCCCATAGACAGCGCTGATTTTTCCCAGCCCCGGTGTGTGATAAGAGGTGGGGGGCAGTGCTATTGCCACCAGAGAAGCTCACCCTAGCCTTGTGTCCTGGGTTTCTATTGGGGGTTGGTCACGTGGGTATGGAGCACGTGTATGTCTGACCTTTGTTACCCGGTCTCCAGCCCCTCTAGAGGTCAAGCAGATACTGTGTGGCCCAAGGCCCCAGGTGAACAGAGACGTACGCATCAGGCAGGACCTTCCATTGGCTTAGAGGTCCCCTCCCAGTGCTGGGGCAAAGGGTCAAACCTTTCTTTGGGCATGATGAGCCATTTACTGCACAGTACCTTTTGCTTTTAGAGGTTTATGGTATCATTTTGTGATTGTGTTTGCCTGAACTTCTGATTCTGAAATGCTGAGTGGTCCCTGAGGGCAATTCAGTTCTGAGCAAATCCCTGTCCTTCTCACACCACCCACCCCATTCCTGAGCATCCTATCACAATCTGCTATTAGATAGTAATATAATTGACTACTACCATAATGTCAGCTTCCCCCAGTGCGAGCTAGCTGGAGGTATTGGATGATGTCTGCTTTGTTCCCCACCAAAGAGCCAGGGCCTGGCACGGGTCAGCTGTTCCAGAAAGTGGCAGACACTGGGGCCAGACAGACCTGGGTGCTAATCTTGGCCCTACCAACAACTCAGCGTGTGATTTTGGGATATTTACTCAGCCTCAGTTTCTCCACCTGATAAATGGGGATAATCGCGTCTCCCTACTGGTTTGTTGTAAGGACTCTAGGAGTCTGGCAATTGATTACCAAGGCCCAGGCATTATTATTCTCAAATACTTATTGAATGAATGAATGAATGAATGAATGAATAGGGGCGCAGCCAATGATTGCAGAATGAATAGATGAAAGACTAAGTGCTCAGTTTCTAGGTCTGCGTGTGGATCCTCTTTGCTATCTGCCAGCTCCCATTACCCTAATTGGACCCCCTTCTTCGCTTCCACTCAGGGTTACCAGCCTGAGTATCCGTCAGGTATCCCCCTAGCCTGCCTGCCCCCAGCCGTGGCCGCTCCCACCGTGGAGGAGGACCAGGAGCTCCATTACGCCTCCCTCACCTTCCATGGGTTGAGGCCCTGGATGCCTCAGGACCCTGAGGGCCTCAGCACCACCAAGTATTCAGAGATCAAGATCTGCAAGTGATGACCCCAGACTCCAGCGAGCTCCCACGACCTCTGGGTAGAGGGCCCAGGGCTTCTCAGGAAGGGAGACATCGGGGGACAATTCCTCAGAGAATAGTTTGCCGTGGAAACGGGTTACCAACTAGTGAGTGGGCATCCCACACTGGTGTGGTGATGGGCAGAACGGCGCTCAAATTTCAGCCCGGCCCCAATTACAAGCCCGAGTTCGAGCAAGTCACTTTACTTCTCAGTCTCCCCCTCTGTAAAGCGGACGCAATAAACCTAACTCACAGGGTTGTTGTGGGGCGTCAAGGTGGCAATGAACATGAAGGGCCCAACCAGGGTGCAGGTGCGGAGAGCACCTTGCCCGAGCTCACGCCTCTTCCCAGGGCAGCCCACCTGGTGTAAGGGTCTGCTCTGGCGGGGACATTCTGCAGGGATGTTCTGGCTCCAGAGGCCCCACCCCCACCCCCCAGGATCCCTGACCCCTGGGGTGCTTCCTCAGGAACACTCTGAGCCTGCTTCCTGGGAACCCAACTTGTGTATTTTCACCACACAGAAAATCATTCATGGCTTTTCTGAAATAAACGACAGGTTATCTAAATTATATACCTCTTTCTTTATACGTCCCGGATGATTTCGTTCTCCTCAACAGTGTCTTCTTTTTGTAGAACTGGCTTATAAAATTCCTTGCAGTTATGGTCTGTGTCCCATTAACATTGCAATATGGTGTTAACCTTAAAGTAAAAACCGCCAGCTCCTTTACCAGCGAAAATGGATCTATTGGGTGAATAAACGAGAGCTGTGCAACAAAAAAAGCGCCTGCCCCCAAACCATAGGCAAGTCTGAGGATCGAAACAGAGGAACGTATTTATGGAGAAAAGGGGCAAATGGGGAAGGCTGTTATAAACTAAAAGTCCACTGGAGTAAACTGGGAGTTGGAAGTATTCTGGCTTCTCATTTGGGTCTGCAATTGACTATGCGTGGTAGGACATTAGAGCGCTCCCTGCTGAACCCACCCACTTCATTTCAGTGCGGGTTTCTTGTTAACTAATTTTCACTGTAGTTTTTGCAGTGATCACATCCAATTTATTCCTTTTTTCCTTTGAATGTCCATTTACTTTTTTGTCTATTGTGTGCATTAATGAGAAAACGCGCTCAACCCAATATAGTGTCGAGGGGCGCCTGGCTGGGTTAGTCGGTGGAGTGAGTGACTCTTGAACTCGGGTTTGTGGGTTCGAGCCCCACACTGGGTGTAGAGATTACTTAAAAATAAAAATCTTTAAACAAAATTTCAGTGTGCCAAATTTCATCTTTCACGGCACAATTCGCTTTGCCCTTCTTCAGGATTATGCTGCATCACCTGATCAACATTACTTTTTTAAAAGTGGTGTGTGTCTACTGACAAAATAGAAGCATTTTTCTCATTTCTTATTCCCTTCTTCAACACTGATTCCATTTGTTCCCATGCAGGTATTTAGTGACGTTCATGTAAAAGAATAAAATTCTTCAGGGATTAAAACTGTTTTGGAAAGGTCATCATGGAAAGGCTGCAGTAACTATCCACTTCAAATCAGAAATTCTCTTTCTGTTCTAAGTATAGCCTTGACAGGGGCGCCTGGGTGGCTCAGTTGGTTAAGGGTCTGCCTTCAGCTCAGGTTGTGATCTTGGGGTCCTGGGTTGGAGCCCCTTATTGGGCTCTCTGCTGAGCAAAGAGTCTGCTTCTCCCTCTCCTTCTGTGCTCACTGGTGCTCTCTCTCTCTCAAATAAAAAAATAAAATCTTAAAAAAAATAGCCTTGATCCATAAAGAGATAAAATTTTCATCAATTCTTTCTTTAACATATTCAAGGAGTTTGTGTGTGTGTGTGTGTGTGTGTGTGTGTTTTAAGACTGACTTACTTTGAGACAGAGAATGAGTGGGAGGGGCAGAGGGAGAGGGAGAAAGATAATCTCAAGCAGACTCCATACTGACTGCAGAGCCTGACGTGGGGCACCATCTCACCAGCCCGAGATCACAACTTGAGCCGAAACCAAGAGTGGGACGCTTAACACAGAGCACTTAACACTGTTCTCTGTTCTTTCAATTTGCATAATTCTATTGCTAAACAGATATTGGAAATTAAAAGTAAAAAAAAAACAAAATAAAAATAGGCTTCCCAACGTGGATCACTTTATTTTTTAAGGATTTTATTTTTATTTTTAAAAAAGATTTTATTTTAAAAGTAATCTCTGCACCCAGCACGAGGCTTGAGCCCACAACCCTGAGATCAAGAGTCACACGCTCCACCAACTGAGCCGGCCAGGCGTCCCCGTGGCTTATTTTAAACATCAAGAATTTGGGCGGCTTTTCTTCAGAATGAAAATATAATTCAGCACCTCAGATAAACTGAGGATTTTCTCAACTTTATTTGTTAAAGAGTATTTTCTTCAGAATGAAAATATAATTCAGCACCTCAGATAAACAAACTGGGGATTTTCTCAACTTTATTTGTTAAAGAGTGCCACTGGGGGGTTTTGAATGAGAGAGAATTGAAAAATACTGCTTGCCAACAAATCGCAACAATCCTTTGATCCCTCATTTGCAACAGCACAAAGGGTAAGAAAGGTTTCCCGACACTTCAGTGTCAGTACAAGAGCCCACAAGGCTGTTTGAGCGGCATTGTGTAGAAAGGCAGAGCAGCCAACGCCTCCCACAGAATCCTGCTCTGAATAAATATTGTCTACATCTTCCACAAACAGCCAGCAAAATTTATATTTGTAGTATCTCCCATCAAAAGCAGTAAAATTCTTCCTGTTTACTGCCAACTCATTGTGAAAAATAGGACAACAGTCCCAACATGGAGTTGCTTACGCTAAGCCCCACGTCCCCAAGCCCAGGCATACAGTTTCGGCTCTCTCAGATGCGGAATCTGAGTCACTCAGGAATCGCCCTGATTGGCACTCGTCAGGTAATCTGCCTGACAGACCCCTGAAGGAAAGCAACCTTGCAACAAGCAACCTGTTTTTTGGCCTCCTATAACTTCCTTGCTCCTGCCCTCTTCGGCCCATAGAAGTCTTTCACTTCGTCCAGCTCCCTGGAGCACCTTTCTGTTTGCTCCATTGGATGCTGCCCAATTCATGAATCATGGACTAGCGCCAATAAGATCGTTAAACTTTGCTTGGTGGAGTTTTGTTTTTTTAACCTCAGTAAGGGAGTCTCCGTGAACATTTGCTATTGTTTCTGGGGTCTCATCTGGAAGGGATTCTACTTGTACAAGTCTTAGAAATAAGCTTTGATCACAAGAATAGTATTTCAGAAGTCAGGGGAAATGATTTTGTCCTTCCCAGCTGCTTACTGGGGGCCCCTCTTGGAGACATACCACATACCTGCATTTACTGAAGGCTCACAGGTGTCCTGTAGTAAAAATTATTTATTTTATTTTTTAAGATTTTATTTATTTATTTGAGAGAGTGAGAGAGAGGAGGAACAGAGGGAGAGGAAGAAGCTGACTCCCTGCCGAGCAGGGAGCCTGATGCGGGGCTCGATCCCAGGACCCCGGGATCATGACCTGAACTGAAGGCAGATGCTTAACCGACTGAGACACCCAGGCAACCTGTAGTAAAAGTTGTTAAAAAACAAACAAACAAAAAAAACCCCCAAAACCCACCACCAGCCCCTGCACCATGAACATCTGATTAACTTTGGGCCAGAGTTTCACTTGGGGGCAGAGGCGAGGTGGAGAGGACAAATGGGCTCCAGCCACCGTCCACCACAGGGTGGCATCTGAGTCATTCCCACTCCCCTGGGCCATGTGATGCTCCTCTAATGCAGATGACGACACCCTCCTCTTGCAGAGGTCAGGGGACAAGATGCCAAGACACACAAGGTCCAGAACCTGGGCTCTGTAGACAGACAAAAGCGGGTTCGGAGGCAGAGGGAAACTGTCTACACTCTCCCTGCTCTGCCTGGTTGTGCGATTCTCCTGCTGCCTGAGCAACACTGGGTCCCAGATGACTGCTAGCTCAGAGATGAGGGCAGAGGGCAGAGGGGCTGTGGGCAAGTGCACCACGTGGCAGGGGGATGGGAGGGCCAGATGTTGACACTGTGACCATCCCGTGACCTGATATGCGGCCCTGAAGGGCAGCTGACGTCCCTCTTCTTTTGTGGACTCGTAAACAGAGAGGCTCTTTAAGCAGGATATTTTCAGGTGGGTTTTCTCTCTCACTGAGGAACATCCCCTTCTGGAAAGCTCTATACACATCTGCTTTCAAGTAGGAAATGATCATCAGTCTGCTAATCTACCCTGCGTCCCCTGAGCAGGCAAGAATCGGGGAGAATCAGAGCAGGTTCTTCCCCGACCCGGCCTCTGACCTCCCCCATGCCAAAGTCATGGTGGATGAGGGGTGCCTGGGTGGCTCAGATGGTTAAGTGTCTGCCTTTAGCTCAGGTCATGATCCCAGGGTCCTGGGATCGAGCCCCACACTGGGCTCCCTCGTTGGCGGGAAGCCTGCTTCTCCCTCTCCCTCTACTGTTCCCCCTGCTTGTGCTATCTCGCTCTCTCTTCAGATAAATAAATAAAATCTTTAAAAAAGAAAAAGTAATGGTGGATGATTCCAGATCCTCAAGACCAAATCTGGGAGGTGAATGTATCCCTCTGTTCTGAATCCCTTCCAGTCTAGTCACTGACCACACACTGCCGGTTGAGCTGCCTCCAAAATCTCTCCACAAGCCCTCCCTTCCTCCAGCCATGGCCACTGCCCAGGCCTCACGCTCCCAGGGGAGGCGGCTGCGCTTGCCTCCTCCACCGTCTCTCTATCCAGGCTCTCTGCAAAGGCGCCTCCCCTCCCTGGCACCCTTGGTCTCCATCGCAGCACCGTGCCTTCTCTCCAGTGTGTGGAGCACAACCCAAAGTTGTCTCATTTAATGCCTTCTCCTTCCACTTGACTGGAGGCTTCATTAGCTCAAGGATCTCAGTGTGTCTTGTTCATCAGGATCCTCCTTGCAGCATGATGAGTGTCAAGATATGCCTGCTGAATATTTGTTTCATACGAAGAAGGGTAAACGTATGGAAGAGGAAGGGTACATGGATGGGAGAACGAGCAGATGGATGAAAGGATGAAAGGTGGGTGGGAGGGTGGATGATGGAAAAGTATACGGAAGGATGGATGGGTGGATAAATGGATGGATGGGTTGATATATGGATGGCTGATGATCGGATAGATAAATGGATGGCTAAATAAATGGATGGGTGGATGGCTGGAAAAATGATGGGTGGATGAATGGAAGAATGGATGGATGGATGGATGGAAGGATGGATATCTGCATGAAACTTTCGACAGATGGAGGAAAAAAGGTAAACTTTCCCAAAAGGAACTCCTTTTGCAGACACTCAACTCTCCAACTGCAGTGAAACAATTTATTACCAAAGGATAGTGGTGACAAGAGTAGCAGGATGGGTCCCCACTGAGGGGGTGGCTCACCCCCGACCATGAGTTTCAGGGTCTTCTCTGTCTACAACCCCAGTGGCTGGTGGGAGATGACAGCTGAAAGGCCGGGACAGTTGAACGGAGGAATTCACATTATCTGGAGCTTAACTGTGGGTTCCCTGATGCTAAGCAAGACGGATTCAAAGTGTTGCTTAAAGTAGCAAGTATGCACATTGAAGGGATCTTTCTAGAAGCATATCTGTGATACTACAGCAGGCCTTGAGTCACATTTCTTGTTTTGTTTTTTCTATTTCAAACCTCGAGTCAAAAGTTCTGGAAGACAATAAAAATGGCTGTTAGTGTCCTATTCATTCAAGGAGCACCCATGAAGCCTCTACTGTGCGACAGGCACTTTCTAGAGACAGGCAATACTACCATAAACAAGAACCTTTGCTGGGCTTATGATTTAGAAGAGGGGGTAGAGGGGCGCCTGGGTGGCTCAGTCGTTAAGCATCTGCCTTCGGCTCAGGTCATGATCCCAGGGTCCTGGGATCAAGCCCCACATCGGGCTCCCTGCTCCGCGGGAAGCCTGCTTCTCCCTCTCCCACTCCCCCTGCTTGTGTTCCCTCTCTCGCTGTGTCTCTCTCTGTCAAATGAATAAATAAAATCTTAAAAAAAATAGTAATTAAAAAAAAAAAAGAAGAGGGGGTAGAGACGCTACAAATTGAACACACGCTTCCCTCCAGGAGGGGATGGGGCTGTGCGGAAAACCGGTAATGTGATGACAGGGGGTGGGGAGGTGCCTCCCTGGGGCAGTCAGGGAAGGCTCAGGTCTAAGAGTCAATAATGAGGAGCCAGTCATTCAAAGATGAAGGGGAAAAAAATGGGAATGGCAAGTGCAAAGGTCCTGAGGTGGGATCAAGCTTGGCCTGGTTTAGAATCTGAGGGGAGGATGGTGCGGCTGGCACAGAGTGGACTTGGGGGTGAGGGGAGGTAGGTAGATCAGCCTTGAAGGCCAAGGCAAGGAGCTGCCATAAAGCTGAGGTGGGATAATCTTCCGGTTACTCCAGGTCACCAGGCCCTTTGAATAGCACCTCCTCATTAAGTTCCTAACTATGGCACAAACCTGCTACTGAGGGGACTTACTCAGTTTTAGACCCCAAACCACCATGATCCTGGGAAGGGGCTGTTAGGTTTTTTTAGTTTTAGTTTTTTTTTTAAAGATTTTATTTATTTGTTAGAGAGAGAGAAAGAGAGAGAGAGCACAAGCAGGGGGAGGGGCAGAAGGAGAGGGAGAAGCAGACTCCTCGCGGAGCAGGGAGCTCGACACAGGACTCCATCCCAGGACCCTGGGATCATTATCTGAGCCGAAGGCAGACGCTTAACTGACTGAGCCACCCAGGTGCCCCTAAATAAAATCTTTAAAAATACAATAAAATAAAATTTCCATTGCACCGGGCAGACAGGAAGGTGCTGCAGGACCGGCCAGCACTGACATGAAGCCTGGAGTCTCGGTCGGTAAATATGGGTGGGGTCTCTGTGCATGTGGCCATCGAGGGGCTGGCGGGATCGCAGACACAAGCCAGACAGAGGAGACCCGCCCTCACGGAACTCACCACCAGTAGGCGACTATGCCAAGTGACTGTGCCGCTCTTGGCCACCCCCAGGGAGATCCCAGGAGAAGGGGGGAGGCAGAGACCCGGGGGAGATGGACCAGGGAGGCTGGCCAGTGCCTGGAGGGACCGGATGAGTAGATGAGGGTTGTGGGACAGGGTGGGGGGCAGGCGGTCTGCTGAGCTGGAGAGGGGCAGCGGGCAAGCTGTGTGTGGGTGGAGAGGGCCATGCCTTCACTTTTGGAGAGTTTCTGTGGTGGCGGCCCACTGTGCATCGTGGGGCATTGAGTGGTGTCCCCAGCCTCCACCCACTCGATGCCAGTAGCACCCTTTCCCCAGCCGTGACAACCAAAAGTGTCTCCAGACACCCCCTGGGGGCAACATGGCCTCCATCTGAGAACCCCTGGCTTAGACAAACACTGAGCTCTGATTCCGGCCCCGGGGAAGCTTTGCTTCAGAACCCGTCCACGCAGCCTTGCCGGAATTAACTGGTGAGTGGACTTAGTTTATGTAGTTTTGACCTCCCCCAAATTTCTGTACACCCTCCCAGGGGCTAACGGGAGTGCAAACAGGTACACGGCTCTGACAGAGAGTGATCCAGTTCTCTTTCAAAATAAGAACGCCCTCCACAGACACACACGCACACCCGAGTGAGGCCCGTGCACACAGGTGTTCAAGGCAACGTTGCTTTTGTACAACAAGCACCCAGGAAACCAAGCAAACGCCCAGCCGCTGGTTATGAAGAGTAGCCTTCCACCCACAGGGGAATATGGTGCCGCCATAAACAAGGTCGTGGACCTTCTGTGTGGACAGGGAAGAGCTGGGTGTGGCACCGGGCACAGAGCCAGCGAGTTTTGTGATGGGGGCAGGGGACGAGGGGGTGGGGAGTCAACCCAAAGGGAAGCAGAGGCTGCAGGTGGGTGGGTGGGTGGGTACAGTGATGGAGAAACAGAGGGGTGGAGAAAGAGAAAGATGGAGAGAGCGATGGTGTCTTGATTCTATTTTCCTGGCCCTGAATCCAGTCATGCCTAAAGCTTTCCCCTTGGAAGTTTCTTGCTACAAGAGCCAATCAATCCCCCTTTTCCTTAAAGCCAATTTGAGTCAGCTTCAAGCTACTTGCCATTCCCGAGGGCTGGAAGGTTCAAGAACCCTGTGGAAAAACCCAGCACTTAACTGGGAAGTTGGCCCTGGAGTAAATGGTGTTCGGGAAGCAGGGGTGGGGGTATGGGGGGGTGGGGTTCAGACTCACAAACCCCTCCTATCAGAACCCACCTATGGAACCACGTGGATGTCCACGGGGTCGTAGGCTGACACCCGCAGATCCCGCAGCAGTGCTTCTAGATTGTTCCTCAGCACGGTGTAGGGCGGCTTCTCGTCATACTCGAGGGTCATCACCACCTTCATGTACTCCTGCAGGGTCTCTGTGGTCAAGACATCCCCCACCATGAGAGAGGCCTGAGAAGGGCCCCCAACCCAGAGCCTGGGGGGCTGTGCCCAGTCTCCACCATGGTACCCATTTGCTCAGTGCTTCCTCTGTGCCTGCAACTGCCTCAGGCACTTCGATTAAATTTTTTTTTTAAAAAACATCAAACATATGTAACAATAGAGTGGTATCGCCAGCACCAGTATACCCGTCACCCAGTTTCAACAACTACCATCTCACAGCCAATCTCGTTCATCAATACCCCCGTCACTTCCCCCTCTGGCATTGGGGTAAAGCAAATCCCAGCTAATTATATCATTTTCCCTATAAACATTCAGTGGGTATTCCTAAAACAGGGGCCAGCAATCTTTCACTGTAAAGTGCCAGAGGGTGACAGTTATGGCTTTGTGTGTGTGTGTGTGTGTGGGGGGGGTCTGTGTGGCTAGAAGTAGCCACAGATGACATGTAAGCCGATGGGCGTGGCTGTTAGTGAAGCAAGACAGGTCTGTGTATGGACGCTGCAGGCTGATTTTAGGCAAGTTTCCCGTACCATGAAATGTTCTTTTGATTTTTTCCCTCGGCTATTTAATTTTTTTAAAGATTTTATTTATTTGAGAGAGAGAGAGCACACACAAGCAGAAGCAGGGGTGCTGGGGCGAGTGGGGGGAGGGGCAGAGGGAGAGGGAGAAGCAGACTCCCTGCTGAGTGTGGAGTCCCCCCCAGGGCTGGATCCCAGGACCCCGGGATCATGACCTGAGCCGAGCCGAAGTCAGATGCTTAACCTCAGCTATTTCAAAATGTAAAACAAATTAACCAAACAACCCTCCCCCCACCACAAGACAGGCAGTGGCCCCAGAGATATAGTTTAAAAGGGCTACTTTAAAAGATAAAGGAGAAAAGATAAAGGTCCTCTTGTTTTTTTCCCCCCTAAATAAATACAATAGCATTATCACACTTTTAAAAAAGTGCCAATTATGATACTAATAACAACAGTCAATAACAGCTTGCACCTGGGGACTGCCTATCGCAGGCTGGGCTCTCAGCTAGAAAGTACATTTAATTAGGGTTGCAGCAGAAGCCGAGGCAGCGCCCCTGAGTGTTCTGGGCAACTTGGGAGGTGGGGGCTATTATGGGCCCCATTTTACTCAATGGGGAGGCTGAGGCTCAGAGGGGCATTTACCCACTGAAAGTCCCCTGGCCGGTAGCGCAGACCAGAGTGGTGGTGGGGTGCAGAACCTTCTCCTCCCCCCACACCCCGTGACCAGCTTGGTTTAGAATGGCTGAGCCTCAGGGAACTAACCCAGGGGCTCATTCCTCATGGCCCAAGAACCCAGGGCTGGAGGGGAAAGTGACTTGAGCAGAGCCATGATCTGAACCCAGGATTTCAGGTAACTAAAAAATGAGCACTTACGGAGCTAGAAGGGACAAACTACTTCTGTCTTTCTGCCTCATGTTTAGAGAGCAATGTGGAAGTTCTACAGAAGGGACACTAGGGAAAAAAAAAAAAAAAAAACAGTCTAAATGTCCAGTCATGGGGGTTGGCTTTGAAAATGATGGTTTTGGTGGGGTGCCTGGGTGGCTCAGCCATTAGGCGTCTGCCTTCGGCTCGGGTCATGATCCCGGGGTCCTAGGATCGAGCCCCACTTCGGGCTCCCTGCTCTGTGGGAAGCCTGCTTCTCCCTCTCCCACTCCCCCTGCTTGTGTTCCCCCTCTTGCTGTCTCTGTCAAATAAATAAATAAAATCTTAAAAAAAAAATAAAAATGATGGTTTTGGGGCACCTGGGTGGCTCAGTTGGTTAGGCGTCTGCCTTCAGCTCGGGGCACGATCCTGGGGTCCTGGGATCGAGTCCTGCATTGGGCTCCCTGCTCAGCAGGGAGTCTGCTTGTCCTTCTCCCACTGTCTGCCGCTCCCCCTGCCTATGCTCTCTCTGTGTGTCCAATAAATAAATAAAATCTTAAAAAAAAATGATGGTTTAGCCAAATCATGGATATTGTGTGGCTATTTAAAAAAAAAAAAAAAAGGTTGCGGTGGATCTAGGAGTAAGAACACAGAAAAGCCCTTGTCAATTAATGAAAACAAGATGTTGACCAAAATGTAAGGCGAGCCTATTTTCATTTTTAAAAATAATAGTTTTATGGGGCGCTCCGTTGGTTAAGCGTCTGCCTTCGGCTCAGGTCATGATCCTGGGGTCCTGGGATGGAGCCCCACATCGGGCTCCCTGCTCCACGGGAAGCCTGCTTCTCCCTCTCCCACTCCCCCTGCTTGTGTTCCCTCTCTCACTGTGTCTCTCTCTGTCAGATAAATAAATAAAATCTTTAAAAAAAAATAAAAACGATGGTTTTGGGGCACCTGGGTGGCTCAGTTGGTTAGGCGTCTGCCTTCAGCTCGGGGCATGATCCTGGGGTCCTGGGATCGAGTCCCACATCGGGCTCCCTGCTTGGCAGGGAGTCTGCTTCTCCCAATCCCTCTGCTGCTCCCTCCTGCTCATGCCCCCCACCCTCTCTCAAATAAATAAATAAATAAAATCTTTAAAAAAATAGTTTTGTAAAAACAATGGTTCTGTAAGACAAAGCCAGGTGTGCGTGTATTTATCTGTGTTTGCTTCATACAGAGAGGAAGCCCTGGCAGCAGCTTGCAGAGGTGCAGCACCTCCCATCTCTGCCCCGTGTCCCTTTGCAATGTCTGCTGCTTCTCCCATCATGGGGTGGAGCTACTTGGCCACCTCTAGAGTCTGGGACAGCCTCGTGACTTGTTTGAACATGGCAGAGTGATTTCTGGGCCTCTTCTGCTCTGCAGAAAGCTGCCTCTGACAGAGTTTTGAGGAGAAGCCTAGAACTGAGGCCTCCCAGACCTGCCAGTGACAAGCCAGCTCCAATGGCCAGACAGGAGAGAGGAGCACTGAACAAGCCCGCCCTGGTCGAGCTGCCGAATGGTGGCATCAGCATGCATTCCCCTGCCCCGTGGGACCAGGAAAAGAATCACCTGGCAGAACCTGGCCCGTATTGCTATCCCAAAGAAATTTTCGTAGAGAAATACAATATTGTGTGTGGCTGTGTGTGTGTGTGTGTGTGTGTGTGTTGTTCTTCAGAGACACTTCTGGATTTTGGGGGGAAGATTTTGGTTTTTCTAGAAGGGCATAGATGCACATGCAATTTGGAGAGGCAACACCAGGATGGACCCCAAGCCACCCGTCTCCACCATCGCCCCCAACTGTTCCGTTCCCCTGCAGGACATACCTGAGGGACAGATCCAGCGACTGCACTGTCTCACGAGGGTCTCCGGGTTGTCAAGAAACCTGACAGGACAGAGGTGTATGCAAGAGGTCTTTTAGGGAAGGGAGAGCAAACTTTTAAAGCAGAATGTCTAGCAGATGTACCATAGACTCCCGTTATTTGTGGTAGTTATGCCCTATAGTGGGGCTGCCAACACCCAATCAGTGAATGCTTTTGGGGGAAACATAGCATCAGGTTCCTGCAAGGTTCTGGTTACAATGTTTTCCTTGTGACTTCAACTGATCCCTACTTAACTTTGTCTTACGTGTGTTTGTGTTTAAAGATACCTTGCTTAATATATTGTTAATTTACTCACATTGAACTCACAGCCAGCAGGACTATAACTCGTGCCTGAAGGATGCCCACCTAACACACCTGTTTTCTCTGTAAGGCACATCCCAGCCTTCTTACACTTTAGGAACACTAGACAGCTCTTCAGCACCATGTGTGGGACCATTTTAAAGGGCAAAATCACCAACGAAAAGCACAGAAATCTGGCATTAAATGGACCGCATAAAGGACCCTTATTTATAGGGTGAGATTCAAAATGAGAAGGCAGAGCATCACCTTTTTTGACCTCAGCTGGGATTGTGTGCATCAGACAACTCAAAATTTTCTCTGCTCTGCGTGTGTCTGAGAATGATCTGGAAAGCACTGTGAGTACAGCATCTGCGGTTACAAATACCTTTCGGTGAACAGGCAAATTCCCAAATACGGAAGTTGTGAATCATGAGGATTGATTATCTTCCTCTTTATAAATGCACACATGTATTTGTACGTACACACACACACACACGCGCGCGCGCGCACGCAAAACCTCTTGGACCACTCAAGAAAAAACAGAAATTCATCCACTTCCTTTGTTCTGTCCTTACAGTCCCGGCTGAGAAGACTGTGTCTTCTCTGGCCCGGACCACCAGCTTGGCTCCCCACTATCACACAGTGCTTGGGTGCTGTCCGTGTCTCCCCGCTGCCACAGCCCAGAAGTCCCTAAGCTCCACCCTCCTGCTCCCTGACCCTCTCTGTCCACTTCAGGCCTCATCCTCTCTGCTCACAGCCCTCAGGGGACTCCCCAGTGCCCTGGGGGAAAAGCCCTAGCATGCAGTGCTGCCAGTCCCTCTGGCCTTGCCTCTCTGACTTCCTCCTTTCATCTCATGCTCCGGTCACACCAAACCCTCTCAGGTCCCCTGACTAGGTCCAGCATCCGCCCACGTCTCTTGGCCTCGGCACATACTGTTCCCTCTGCCCTGGACAGTCTTCCCCCGTCTTGGCCCCCAGCAGGTGGCTGCTCTCCCTTCTGGACACTGCTCAAGGGCTGGTCTCCTGGAAGCCTCCCCATAACCCCTCCAGACAGAGAAAGAGATCCTTCCCGGGTGCCTGGGCACTGCGTGCATAGTCCCTGGATGCCCTAAGGCAATTGTCAAAGACACAGTAAGGGCCATGCAGGTCTGACCCTCATCTCTCCCGGCAGCCTCAGGATATGTGTGGCGAATGGCTGAGTGATGGCACCAAAGAGCTGTGGCCCTCGAATGCCTTAAATTGCACGAGTAACTCTACCACTGGCTGTTGGTGTCTGTGGAACCTCCCTGCCAACCTGCAGCCTTAAGAGCGGGGACCAAATCCCACCGGCACCTGGGCTTTCGCAGAGGGGATTTGCACACCAGAAAGCCCTGGAGAACCAAAATGTCTCTCCTATTTCTTTTATTCATTCATTCCACTGCGAACTAGAATGTACAAAAAATGAATAAATGTTGAATGAATGGCAAAAGGCCATGCACACCAGGAGGACGCCCTAGAGGACAAGTTAGGGTTCCAGAAAATGTGCATGTGGCAACATCGCCCCTCGTAGTCTTTTGTGTTAGTGCACTCGAGGCTGGGTGCAGTGTCTATAATGAGCTCATCACCGCCATCCCCATCCCCCTGTGGAGCATCCTGATGTTTCGGACCTTCCCTCTGTGGTTGTGATTGGGAGCTGGGGCTCAGGGAATGAACTGTTATCTTAAGTCACCGGCACATAAATGCCCTCGGGAAACAGACTCTGGATGAATTAGTTCATGTATGTGCTATCCTATCTGCGTAGACATCCTGCCTCCCTTGCCTGTCTGGGAAAGCCCTCTGCTCTGTACACACTGGGTCAGGCATCTCTTGGGTAAAGGTACCCAGTGGCCTGAGGCCACGTGACCTGCCTCCCCTCTGCTCCCACGATGCTCCTGGGGCTGCCTCCACCCTCATGGGCAGCACCTGCTTCCTGCCCAGGCGTCTCCTCCCAGCCTGGGAACTCCCCAAGGCCGGGGTCGCGTCTGCCTGACCTGTGTGTCCACATGGAAGCCTGGACCGGTGAATGAAGGCTCACCCATGCTTTCCTTGTTCATTTATTCCGCAACTATTTCGTGAGCACCCACCATGTGCCAAGTGCTGTGCTGTGAGCAACACAGTGAGGGGGAGAGCTGCTGCGGTCCCTGCCTGCACAGAAATTTGGCTGAAGGTGGCACCGTGGAGGGGTCTCTACCTGTTGTCCACTGTCACTTCTCCCCTTTAAGGGCACAATCCCAAGGGTCAGCAGCCCCAGGCCAGAGAAGTTTCCTAGCCCCCACTGCAGCTTGGGGTGGCCATGTGACCAAGAGACGCATGCCATGCCCAGTCCTGCCCTTCAAAAGCAACGAGAGACGGGGGGGGGCAGAGGTAGCCCCACAGGGAGATATATGCATGTCGAAGGGGCCAAGGCTCTGTTCCCGAGAGGGAAGTAAACATCTACCTCGTTTGAGCCACCGCGGTTTAGAATCTCCTTGTAAGAGCAGTTCAGCTTTGTCCTTGACACAACAGAAGTGCGTGAAGGAGCTGTTCACAGGCTTCGGGCACATTTAATGCTTTAGCAGTTGGGCCATATGCTCCTACTGCCACTGTTACCAATTCTCTGACTCCTTTTTACCTGGCTTCGTTTCAAAAATGGAGAGCTACTGGAAAACTAGAAAGAGAGTGCAAAAATAAATTCTGAGAAAATAGGGCAATGGGCTCATGTTCTGGTGGGTTCTGAGGCTGGCTTCTGAGGCAGAGGTTGCTTGTAGAAGCCTGGAAGCCCAGGGCCTCTCTCTGTGTGTCTCTCCCTCCTTCTGCAGAGAGGTCAAGGGCATATCAGCGCCAGAGTGAGACATCCTCCTTGCCTCACTGCCCTTCTGGAGGCGACTCACCTGTCACCATTGCCATGAGACCTGCCCCGGCCATTAAATCTAAAGGAGTGGTGTGTGGCCACACCCTGACAGTCCTCCTGGTGGGTACCCAGGGCTCTGGCCCAACGGTCCCAACCAGTCTGGCCTGTGACATGCTCTGTTTCACTCTTTGTCTCTTTACTGTCACCTCCACTAGGATATGAGTTCCCAGAGGGCATTTGTCTCAGTTATTCCCATAACCCCAGGGACTAGACCACGGTGTGGTGCATAGTAAGTATTCAGTAAGTATCTGATGAGTGAAGGAAGGCTGCATCTGAGTGCCACCAATCCATCTGTGATAAGCCTCCCACACAGCTACGAGGTGAAAGAGCCTTCTCTGGAGTCAAATGGCCTGGCTGTGAGTCTAAGGACCTCTCCTTCGTGGCTGCGTGACCTGGGCTGATTCTCTCTGTGCCTCAGTCATAAGAGCATTTACCTCAGAATTGTTCTGAGGACGACACAGGAAGCACTTGGCACAGTGCCGGGCACAGACAAGTGTATGATAAATGCTGGCCTCGAACAGGTCATTATGAGCAAGCCAGCGTGATGGGGGCAGGTCCCTTCCTCTGAGCACCACAGGCAGGAAACCTGAGGCCCTCCCCTGGGGAGTGACTGAGCAGAAATCTGAAGGAGGAGGAGATTCAGGGCATGGTACCATTTGTGCCAACCAAATACACACCCAACAGCAACATCACAGATTTTTCGAGATCTAGATACATCCAAACAAACAAATCCAGGAGCAGTATTTGGAGGCACTGAACTAGCAACTTAGCTAAAGTTAGAAAATACAGCACTAAGTGAAAGGAAGCAAGAAACAGAATGAAATTTAGAGGTCAGTACTATTTATGCAAATTAAATACACTCATCATAGATTATTCAAGGTCACAGACATGTCTATACAACTCATTGAAAAGCAGGAATCAGAAGCAGTAAACGCAATGCACGTGTAACGATGCGGCTAAAGTTGAAGAACACGGTACTGAGTGAAAAATGCGAGAAACAAATGACATTTAGAGCAGAATAGTATTTATGCAGGTCAAACGCACATAGTGCCGCCACTACCACACGAGTTAAGGATACAGATATACTTAAGCAAATGTATTAGTAGAACATATGTTAAGTATGTTTGAGTGGGTGTCCATGGTTGAGACAAGATGGTAGGGGGTTATATAAAAGGGAAAAATACAACGAGAGAGAGGCTCAGCATGAACCAGCGACACTGCACACAGAGAACTGAGAAGCACGAGGGACTCGATGCCGTTCCCTGGAGTTTTCCCTCCTCCTACCAGGCACACTTTCCCTGGATAATCCCATTCTCTCCCAGGGCTTCTGCTGACGACTCCTGAGATAGCAATGAGGTCTGAGTCTCTGTTTAGACTTCATTCCTGCACTTCACACATGGATGGCCAACCATCTGCTAGACGGGCCCTCTGGATGACTCCTGGGCAACTCTCACCCCCACCCCCGCAGCTGTACCAGATCTTGAATCCCAACCTCCTGCAGGGCTTCCCTCGGCCCAGCTGTCTACTGTCCTTGGTGCTGAAGACCAAAGTGGCCGTGTGCACCTCCCTCCCAGCCCTGCTGCCTGCTGTCTTTGGTGCTGAATGTCTCTCCAGGGCCAGCTAGTCTCCCGCTGTCCTTTGTACTGAATGTCTAAACCAGAGCTAGCAGGATCGGGTGGTTTTACAAGCAGAGGGCAGGGACAGGAAGTGTGGACTCGGGTGGCCAGTGTTGCCACATGCTGAAGCAGGGCCCAGGCTTCACTGCCCAGGTTGCCCACTTGTCTGTGAAGGAATGAATGAGTCATGGTGTCCTGTGCACCATGAGTATTTTCTACAGGTCAGGCTCTGTCCTGAGTGCTACGTACCTGACTCCCCTGAGGTAGGTGCTAATAAGATCTCATCCCAGAGAGAACACCGAGACTTGTGGAGGTTATTAGGCTGCCCACCCAACACACTGCAGTGGTGGGGTCGGAATCCGACCCCAGGCAGCGCGACTCCAGAGTCCACGCTCGTCTGGTGGAATGGACGCTACAGGACACACCTGAGTACTGCAGAGGCCTTGGCTCTGCTGGACGCCGCCTCCCCCTTTTTGTTCCCTGCTGGGTTCTGAGCTTCTGCCCCACTTTCGGGGGTGCTGGGTCAGTGCTGGGTTCTGCTGACCCCCCGACTCACTTCTGTTTCAGCTTCATGATATTCTCGATGTTGGGAAGGCAGTTTGTCCAAGGCAGGATCCCACAGAGCCACTTCAGCAAACAGTAGCCCAGGGTCTGGAGGTCACTGCGGCGGGAAGGCCCTGGGGAGGGAGGGCAAGAGGTGGCAGCTCAATCCGAACGCTCCATGCACTGACACCTCCACTCCTTTTCTCTGACTCAATGCACTCAACCATCCATGCACACAGGCTCTCGTCTGTTCATTCACTTTTCATTCACCTGCTCTTGAGCTCTCATGAGTCTCTCAATTACTCTCGCTCACTCTCTCAGCCGTCCCTACCTCCCTGCTTTCACTAGCTTACTCCCTCGTCTAGTTGTCTTTCATTCATGCACTCATTCATTCAGTGGGTCCTCAGAGCTCTGTGCACCAGACCCCATTCCACACTCTTAAATCCCAGGCAAGAATTTGGTTGGCTCCTAACCAGTCTAACCCTTGACAGTCTAATGGAGACAAAGTATGGTGTGGGATTACCTGAGCTACAGAGGAGGCATGAGGGAGCCCAGAAGGATGGACACTGAACGCAGCCTCAATAGAGGAGAGTAACAGAGACTGTGGGATTTTTTTTTATGCTTCCTAAACGGCATGATTTAGACAAACATTTGTGTAAGCATATAACAAGGACCAAGAGTTGATTGTGCCGGACCTTCTGCTCCTCGATGCTGGAGGCACAGGCACCACCCCTTTCCTGGGGGAGCTCAGTCTGGTGGGAGGACATGGGTAGACACGTGGATGGCCATGACATCAAGGGATTTGGGAAAGAGGCTCAGCCTCAAGGAATCTTCTCCTTAAAGTACTCTCTTCATACTTACTCTGCACACTTTCCTTGGATAATCTCATTCCTCTCCCAGGGCTTCAGCTGACAACTCCCGAGATACTGCTGATATGTGGGTCTCCATCCAGACTTTCTCCTGTGCTCCAGGCATGGACAGCTAGATGCCTCCTTGACAGCCTCTCCTGAATGACTCTTGGGCAACTCTCATGGGTTCCAAGTCTAAACCAGATCTTGAATCTGACCCCTGGACCTGTGGAACCTCCTTGTGTCCAGCTGCTTGCTGTCCTTGGTGCTGAATGGCTGCCCTACAACTCCCTAATGCAGGCTGTCCATGGTTTTGAATCCCTATTCCAGCTTGCTTAGCGTGATTCCTGTGTCTGGCTACCTGCTGTCTGTGGTTATGAAAACCTAGAGCTGCCCTTGTATGAGAAGCATGTCTCCATAGTCCTGAACCCTTCTCCGGACTCTTACCACATCCCTTGTGCAGGTCAAGGCTAATGAACTCAAGATCCCCCTCATGTGGGCTCCTGCTGCCTTCCACGTAGGCCACGTGTTTGCCGCCAGGGGCATAGCGGAAGGTGAAGCCGTAGCCTGCCAGCGTCACCTGTGTGGACATGGGGAGAAGCCATTTAGGAGCTTGGACTCCAGAGTCAGAGAAGTCAATCATGGGTGCAATGTGAAACAACTGAACGCCCACAGTACAGAAGGGTGTGAAGTGAAAAGAACCAAACCAACCACCTCCAGCCCCCAACCCATCACTCATTAGTAACCACTAATAATACTAATTTCTTATGCCGTGTTTCAATCAACTTTCTTTGAATAACTGGTAAACACACATGGATGTAGAGTGGGCTCTAGTTTTTTTTCATTAAAGATTTTTATTTATTTATTTGACAGAGACACAGAGGAGAGAGGGAACACAAGCAGGAGGAGTGAGAGAGAGAGAAGCAGGTCTCCCATGGAGCAGGGAGCCCGATGCGGGGCTCGATCCCAGGACCCTGGGATCATGACCTGAGCCAAAGGCAGACGCTTAACCATCTGAGCCACCCAGGCGCCCTCAAATAAATAAAATCTTTATGTATGTATGTATGTATTTATTTTTAAAGATTTTATTTATTCATTTGAGACACAGAGATACAGACACAGAGAGAGAGAGCCTAAGCAGGGGGAAGAGGTAGAGGGAGAAGGAGAAGCAGGCTCCCTGCGGAGCAGGGAGCCCGATGCGGGGCTCGATCCCAGGACCCTGGGATCATGACCTGAGCCGAAGGCAGACGCTTAACGACTGGGGCGCCTGGGTGGCGCCCTGAACTTTAATAGTGGTTCCAGGCATTAACATTTGGAGCCAGACAGACCTGGTTCAGCCATGTCTGAAGCCAATGAAGTTCTGGATTTTCCCACTCAATGGGCTAATGATTTGCAATACCCCCTTAAACATTTTTTTTTAAAAGCCATGTTAAATTGGGCTTCTGTCATTTGCAACTAATAAAGTAATTAGAATTTACTTTAAAACATTATAAGGGGCGCCTGGGTGGCTCAGTCAGTTAAGCGTCTGCCTTTGGCTCAGGTCATGGTCCCAGGGTCCTGGGATCGAGCCCCACATCAGGCTCCCCGCTCAGCGGGGAGTCTGCTTCTCCTACTCCCTTTGCCCCTCACCCGGCTCGTGCTCTCTCTCTCTCAAATAAATAAAATCTTTATGTATGTATGTATGTATTTATTTTTAAAGATTTTATTTATTCATTTGAGACACAGAGATACAGACACAGAGAGAGAGAGCCTAAGCAGGGGGAAGAGGTAGAGGGAGAAGGAGAAGCAGGCTCCCTGCTGAGCCAGGAGCCCGATGTGGGGCTCGATCCCAGGACCCTGGGACGCTGACCTGAGCCGAAGGCAGATGCTTAACCATCTGAGCCACCCAGGCGCCCTCAAATAAATAAAATCTTTAAAAAAAAAGTTAATCAGTACTCTACCAGGAGTGTGCATACTTAAGGTTTTTCCACTTGACTATTATAATCAATGCTGTTAGAAACATTTTGTACATATATCTTTGCACAGTTCTGTGAATATACGGACAGGACACATTCCTAAAAGAGGAACTGGCAGATGAAAAAAAAATATGCATTTAAAATTTTGACTCCTGGGGCGCCTGGGTGGCTCAGTCGTTAAGCGTCTGCCTTCGGCTCAGGTCATGATCTCAGGGTCCTGGGTTCGAGCCCCGCATTGGGCTCCCTGCTCAGCGGGAAGCCTGCTTCTCCCTCTCCCACTCCCCCTGCTTGTGTTCCCTCTCGTTATGTCTCTCTCTGTCAAGTAAATAAATAAAATCTTAAAAAAAAATAAAAAATTAAAATTAAAATTTTGACTGCTATATCCAAATGACCTTCCAGAAAGGTTGGCCAATTCACACTTTGAACAGCATATAAAGAATTTCTGTTTCCTTACATCCTTATCAGCAATAAAGACCATTCTTTTTTGTCCACCCCTAAAATAGGAAGTTTTAATTTTTTGTTTCTATGATTACCGACATTATTTAGCGAGGCTGAGCACCTTTTCACATATTTAACCTGTGGATTTCTTTTTCTATGAACGGCTTTTCCTAACCTTTGTCCATTTTTCTACTAAGTTGTTTATCTCTTCTTATTTATCCAAAGGAGCATTTTACATACGATGGATAGCAATCCTTTGCGGTAAGCATTGTGAGTTACATGGAGGTTTTGAGGCAGATGAGATCCTGGGCCCAGAGAGTCCCTAGGGTGGAGGGGACTTGGCTATTACCTGGCTCAGGTCCCCTGGATTCACAAAGATGTTCTCAGCTGTCACATTTCCATGGACATACTCATTCTCATGGAGGAACTCCAGGGCATCCAGCTGGGAGAAGAAAGTAGGCATTTCCATGATGACAAACAGAAAGAGGCTCTGAGGCAAAGCCCAGTGAAGGAACCTCCAAGTTAGGCCTGGGGTCAGGAGGTACTACTTGTGATTGGAGGGGAGAAAGGTGTTTAAACCTTACTAATTCTGCGTGAAGCAGTAGGAAGCCCACTCTTGATGACATACCTAAGCATGTCTTCTAATTAGACTTCTGAAAAATCAGCATTAAAGGTAATACTGGTTTTCCATCTATCTCTTTTACCTATTTCTCAGTTGACTGCAAACTCAGGAGGGGAAGATGTCGGTTACTTATTGCCACGCTGTACCCCCCAAACCCAAAAAGCAAGACCCAACACCCACGTATACTAAAGACTTCTCATTTCTCCCAAAGAGCAGAAATATGTTCAGTTAAGCAATTTGTATTTCTTATCCCTAGCTCTTGACTTCTCCATTGAGCTCCAGACTCATACACTGAACTGCCTGGATTTAGTTATATCCTGAATATATCCCCAGGCCCACCTTGACCCCAAGGCTTACCTATCCACTAGGTTCTACTTGTTCTATATACTCTCCGTTCCCACAGCCCATCTCCTCAGGACCGCCCTCTCATGCCGACCTCACCTGGCCTCCTTATCACACCCTCCAGTCCATCGACATGTGCCCCTAGGGTCTTTCTGTATCCAGAGCTGACCCTGCCTTTCCTCTGCTCCCAATCCTCCCGTGGCTCCCCAGTGCCCTCAGGACAGAGTCCTCAGCTTGGTGTTCTGCGTGATTGGTCACTGTTGACCTTTCCATGCCAACCCTACCTTACCCTTTCTCCCCACACGTCAGCACAGAGACCTTCAGGACACACCTAATAGGTCACTTCCTGGCCACTCCCAGGTCTCCAGCTATTTAAATCGGGTCCTCATATCCTCCGTCATAGCAGAGGGATATTTCTATTCAGAGAACTTTCACAGCTTGTGAAACTGTTTTATACCATCCTCTCCCACTAGACATAAAAACCATTACTCCCGGCCCCTGGGGCAGTGTCTGACACCCAGCAGCGACCTGATAAATATTTAATGAAAGGACGGATGGGGGCGCCTGGGTGGCTCAGTCATTAAACGTCTGCCTTTGGCTCAGGTCATGATCCCAGGGTCCTGGGATCGAGCCCCGCATCGGGCTCCTGCTCAGCAGGAGGCCTGCTTCTCCCTCTCCCACTCCCCCTGCTTGCATTCCCTCTCTCGCTGTGTCTCTGTCAAATAAATAAATAAAAAATCTTAAAAAAAAAAAAAAAAGGATGGATGGACAAGGGAATAAATCAACGAACACATGCCTTATGCTCCCCTCTCCTATACACACCTTTACCTAAGCTGTATCCTTGGCCTGGGATATTCTCCCCGCGTATCTCCACTCCCACTCCACCCAGTACCTTGCTATTTCTCACTCATCGCTTAGAAACAACCTCCACCAGGAAGCCCAATGGAGCCCCTCATTTTGAGGCAGGGGCCCCTTCCTCCAACTCCCACATGGGAATGTTTATCTCTCTGGCTCTAATGGCCTAGTGTGCACCTGTTCCAGTCAAGTGCTAGCCCCCAGTGTCCAGGAGAGGGAGGCACGGGCTGAATGTGTCAATGAACAAGCCGACTGATAATTTAGGATCCAGTTCACCATCCCCTGGACGGGAGCCAGCAGCTTCTAGGTACATACCAGTCGGCAGGCCATCTGGAACACAGACTTTACCGACATTACATGCTTTGGGTTGTCATCCAGGGCCGACTGAAGGCTCCTCCCCAGCATGGGAAACACCAAGAACCTGGAAGATAGGAGCGTCCCAGGAGGTGGGAGAGATGACCACGGGAAGGGGCAGAATATAGGCCACCGAGGCTGGACTCTGGCTGGGTGGCTCTAAGGTCCCAGTCACGGGCAAGACCAAGGGTTCCTGATTGTGAGGGGATCAGCCTGGCTCAAAGCTGGGGAGAAGGAAGCCACGGACTGGCTCCAGCGTCCCCGGAACATGACACAGAGAGAAAAAACGGGACCAGCGAGGTGGCTGGCAAGCAAAGCGACTCACCTGTACTTGTCCTGGTGAATGCCAAAACCGACACAGGTGGGGATGGCCAGTAGGGGGACTGCGTTCAGCTTCTTCCACTTGTTCACTGCGGGAGGCAGGGGAGCGAGTGTTCAGAGCCCCCCGGTCCCGGGGCCCACGGCCCGTTCTCAGGGCAGAATCAGAGAGTGCCTGAGCCCAGGCCAGACTGTCAGGCTCCTGGTCAGAGATGCCACCTCTGTGGGTGGGTGACAGCAGGGTGGTGACAGGGTGTGCATCACTGACCTCTGACTGTAACCTACATCTGCAAGGGACAGGGGGTGAGCCCGGCCGAAAGCATATACAAAGCTGGCATGCAAGGGACAAGGACAACAGAGTGACCTCTGAATTCACGTGTATCATTAGTAAGGTCAGGAAATGTCTCAACTGGCCATGGCATCGATCAGAGGTCTGCCTGTCTCCCAGGATCTCAGTTGGCTGGTACAGAGCCAGTGGTGTGCTGATAAAAGTTTAATGACTGGCTGTCCAGGGAAAAATACTCCCTGACTGCTCGTGTTTGCCAATTTTTGTGGTGTGAACACTTCCCACCACGGCCCATTTCAGGCCACGGATCTGAGATCACAGAATGTGGAGCTGGGAGAGACACCAGCACGCCATCATATGGTATTTTCACCAAGCAGATACAATGGATGTGAGCAATGGATGAGGTCTGTGTTTCAAGTGCCCTGCTGGCTGCCAGGTACCTAGACAAACAATTAGGAAGTGAAGAGTTTTGAGGATCTGAATATTTACTATTGATCTTAACATAATGTATTTGATTGTAAGTTGATGTAGTTAATTTTATTTTATTTTATTTTAAGATTTTATTTATTTATTAGAGAGCGAGCGAGAGAGAAACAGCACGAGAGGGGAGAGAGTCAGAGGGAGAAGCAGGCTCCCCACTGAGCTGGGAGCCTGATGTGGGACTCGATCCCAGGACTCCGGGATCATGACCTGAGCCGAAGGCAGTCGCTTAACCAACTGAGCCACCCAGGCGCCCGATGTAGTTAATTTTAAATGACTCTGTTTAGCAACTGCCTTGTGGTCCTGAAAATTGAACGCTTGGCTCTCCAGAGCTGGTACAGCCTCAGCCCGTGCTGTCTTCTGAGGCCTAAGGCCTGACGGGTGACGGGGCACAACTGGGCCTGTAATGTCATCCCCACCTTTCCCACCCCTTCAGGGGGAAGTTAGCTGTTCTGACCAAGCTAGTAGCCCCAGCTCTCTCCCCCTTTGCCCACTGCCCTGCAGAATACCTTGAAAAGGCTTGGCGGCCCGCTGGAAGAAGTTCTGCTCGTTGAACAAGCGCCCGTCCTTGGCATCCTACTTGGGAATGGCAGGGGGAGAAGGCTGTCACAGCGGAAGTTCCTAGACAAGGTCATCACTGGCCATGCATCACCCTAGGTCAATGCCAGCAACTGCCACCATGACCCCCATATCAGAACCAAATTCCCTAGGGTGCTGCATGTGAACACATGATCTCCCACTGCCCAGATTCCTCTTCTTTTATGCTAGGATCCACAAGTTTTCCTACGCCTGTGGCCTTCAGCTAGAAACTACATTTCCCAGCCTCCCTTGCAGTGAAGAATGACCCTGTGACCAACTTTTGGTCTATAGAGATGTAAGCAGATGAAATGTGGGCAGCTTTCGGATTATGCCCTCAAAGGGCTGGGCACGCGCTCCCTTTCCTCTTCTGTTCCAGTTGGCTAGAATGCAGAGGAGATGGCAGGAGCTGGGGCAGCCACCTCAGCCCATGAAATGGAGGTTATACACGAGTGGTACAGCTGGCTTCTTAAGAGGACAGGGTTAAAGAGAGCTAGGTTCAAATCTCAGCTCTGCCATTCATTCCTTCTTTGTACAAAGCACCTATTATGTGCTGAGTATTCTACTGGCATTGGAGATACAGGAACGTGCATGCTGCGCGCCCCTGGGCAAGTGATCAAATCCCCATTTCCTCATCTGTTAAATGGGGGAACTAAAAGTAACTACCTCCCCCAGGCTTGCTTGTGAGACTCTTAGCCCAGGGCTGGGCATAGAACAGGCTCTCTCTTTTTTTAAATTTTTTAAAATTTTATTATTATGATGATTATTTTTTCAGAACATGCTCTCAACAAGCAGGTGTCATTACTCATCTGTGAGCCTGGCTCCAGAGCCCACTCACACAGCCTCCGTCTAGGGCCATGGCGATGGGGCACCAGGACTGGCTGCCCCAGTGTTTTTGGGGGTGAGAAAATCCGAATAAACGAAGGGAAGAAAATAAAAGTCACCCGTAAGTCCAGCTCTCAGGGATAATGAGGCTACTAGCCAGGATGATACGCTCTTATCAGACTCTTCTATGATGAGGGATGCGACTCGCCCGCCTGGCTGCTCTCTTTCTTGGTTGGTTGGTTTTCCCTTGGGGCCCCCTCGAGTGCATATTTCCTGTGTGCTAAGATTGTGCGTGATTTCACAGACTCCTCAGTGCAGGCACCCCATCTGATTGCTTGTCTGATGGGCCCCATCACCCAGCACAGTGATATATAGTAGATGATCAAGAAATACACACTATGAGACAGATAGGCAAGTGGGGCACACAATGTGGATATTAGGGGCTCCCTCACCCAGATGAGGAAACTCGGCCCCAGGAGGGGAGAAGGCACCTGCCTAGACTGCACAGCCACACAGCACCAGAACCAGGGTGTGGGGCGGACCTCAGGGCAGCTTCCGAGGCCCCCCACCATGATAAAGAACCTGAGGCTGGAGGGAGATGTGCCCAGCCCGAGGTCCCACTGACCCCCACAGGCCAAGGCAGGGCTCTGCAGCCTGTGCCAGCCCTCGGAGGGGCCCTGAGGTTGACGGTGCCCAAGCCGCAGGTCCTCTCCTCTTGGCACCGCCCCTGGGGGTACTCACGAGTTTAAGCGAGAATGTCTGTTTCTGACTTGACTTGCAGGCGAAGGTGGAGATAGCCTCAGCTGCGGGTGGACAAAACGAGCCAAGTTATTATCTACAGGGAAGATGAGAGTCCTGGTCCTCAAACTTCCTGGTAACGAGTGGCACTTCTGCTTCTCTGGTTCGCTTGGGGTCAAGTGTATTCTTGGCTTTCAAGACCCCTTCCTTCCTATTTTCAAACAGGTTCTTGTTTTTTTTCTTTGTTAATATTCAGCTACATAAAAAAGGTTATTGACGAGAAGGCCTGACTGCTCTCCTTGGAAAGACTTGCTTACAAGGGTGGCCCTTGGCTGGTGTCTGGGACCCTGGGTTTGAGGAGGGATCCAGCATTCTCTAACAATAACAGGGGCCCCCTGTGCCCAAACTATCATGCTGAACAGCTGCTTTCCTTCTGGGAGTCTAGAATTTTGGTACATTCCAGGCAGAGTGCGCCTATGTGACCAGCTCTCAGTAAAAACCCTGGGTGCTGAGCCTCTCAGGAGCGTCTCTGGTAGACATATTACAGGTGCTGTCACACCTCCTTGAGCATCCTGTGTGACTCCACGGGGAGAGGACTCCTGGAAGCTGGTGCTGGTCTCCCCCAGACTTCATGTGTCTTTCCCCCCTGTTGCCTGTGCTCTGTGTCCTTTTGCTGTAATGAATCGTGGCATGAGAACAGCTATGTGCTGAGGCTTGTGGATGGGTCCTCTCTGTGAATAACTGAGCCTGGGGGGTGGTCCTGGGGACCCCCAACACACCAGCTTTTTGCATTTGTCTACACATATGGGGAAGTACAGATGCAGATCCCCTGTGAGGAAGGGCTTGTTGCCCCAGCCCCGCCCACCCGGGAGTGCTGTCACAAGTAGCCTTCAGCCCCTCAGGAGTCCCCTCAGCTGCAATCCCGGGGTGGCCCATATCCAACAGGTTTTCAAGGGGGATATAAAGGCCCAGCTGTGTTGGCCAGACACAGAACCATGCTGAAAGACCACTCCCGCTCCAGAGTCCCCATGGGGCCAGCTGAGGCTATAGGGCTGGGCTGCACCCACCATCCACCTCCTTCTTCCCCTCTGCCTCATAAACGCTGTGCATGTTTGTCCCATTCTGTTCAGTTACCAACCCCATGCTAAGTGTGGGCTTTACACAGATGGTTTCCCTTTAGGGTCTATTATGATGTTATTATTACTGCTGTCGCTGTCGTCGTTAACGCCACCTGCTGGAGTAGATGAGAGAGGCGGGTCAGAGAAGCCAAGGGACACACTGGGCCACCAACTCTCTGTGTGACTTCGCACGAGGTGCTAGATCTCTCTGGGCCTCCACTGCCACGTCTGTGCAATAGGAGTGATGAAGCCCGCCCCCGGGGTTGGACGCAAGGGTTCAGACGGGCCCGCAGGAACGATCATGGTAGTGGCTGAGTGCGCATCATAGGTAGCTTCTTCCTTCAAATGCACCATTCGATGAACCCACCAGCCCCAGAGCCGAGCACCAAGCCTGGCTCACAGGGAGTGCTCAATGTGTGGCAGCTCTCAAACTATCATAAGTAGCACAAGGGCCCACCGCCGGTGAGTGGCAGAGCCGGCTCCGCCTCGCTCATCCAGAGCCCACGAACTGGAACACTAGAGTCCATGCCCACGGCTCTCTGAGTCCTCCCTCCCTTTCTCTCGTCTTTCCTACTCCTTAATCATCCAGGTTGGTGCTGTCTAGGATGCTGAGCTGACGGACAGGAAGGTGACAGTTACCCATCCTTGCTCTCAAGAAGCACCGGTTGGAGCAGGGTGGGAGCCCAGGGTTTACAAATTCAGGGCCAAGGGTGACCTGAGTCCAGTCTATAAGAGGGAAATGTGTGAAGGGCTCAGATCTCAGGGTACAGAGGGGTCCTTTCCAGCTACAAGAAGGGGGTTTGGGGAGATTGTCAGCAGGTGTCTGGAGCTCACTGTGGCACCTCTCACGAATACTAACCCTGCTCAGAGTTCCCTCACGGGCAGGTGACAGGTACACGCCCGACGCTCAGAAACAAGCGGGAAGAGCTGGTAATTTAAATACGATCTCCTGCACTACTCTGAGGATTATGAAGGGCTTTTCTCTTCCACTCCTCTAACCGGCCCTCCTGCCAATAGCCTGGGGTGCTAGCTGGGCCATTCCCATTATAGAGGGGAGCCAACAGAGGCCCAGGAGGGGCAGTGTGCTTGGCCAGTGGCTCCTGCAGAGCCTGGCTATCGACCCAGGGCTCCAGATTCTGGGACCTAGGGAGACCCCTGTCTGATGCACACCTGATACATGGAAAGTCCCTACGTGCTCCCAACGCCGACAAGGGCATAGCAGGCGAGCAGGTGGAAGCCCCCGAATGCCAGAAGATGAGCGATATTGAACCTGGAGCAAGAAAGCTGCTCTGGGATCCATCATGACCAGAACAGCGACAGGAAGCACTTGTACTGTGCTTGCTGCTTTCCTGTGCATTGGTCCACCCATGTAACTTTCCCAACAACGACCCTGCGAGGTCAGTACTATTATCATCCCATTCTGCAGGTGAGGAAACTGAGGCATAAGGTCATGACATCACTTGAACCTGAACGAGGTCCGACGACTAGCTGCCAGCAGAGGCAGGAGGACAGCTCACAAGGTCGGGCTACACTCTCCCACCTCCCTGTGAGGGGAGGGCTTGCTGGAGACTCTGGGCACCCCACAGCCCTCTCACTGCCAGCAATGCTAGGGTCCTGACGCTTCCTGCTCCTGTTCCTGGGTTTCTAGCCTCTGAGTCTTTGCCTATGCCCTGCCTTAGTCTAGCATGCCCATCTCTTTCCTAACTTATTTGTCATGGGCCCAGTTTGGAAGGTGCTTAATAAAACTGTAGCGCTGGGGCGCCTGGGTGGCTCAGTTGGCGGAGTGTCTGACTCTTGGTTTCGGCTCAGGTCGTGATCTCACGGCCGTGGAGTCGAGCCCTGCTTTGGGCTCCACGCTCAGTGGGGATCTGCTTGACATTCCCTCTCTCCCTCTCCCGCTGCTCCTCCCCTACTCATGTACACTCTCTCTCAAGTAAATAAATCTTTAAAAAAATAAAATAAAATCACAGCGCTTCCACCTGACAGTTAGCAACTGATGGAGTCTCCCCACAGCTGGAGGCATATTACACATGCTTGGGATGGCCTGACTCAGTGGGTCTCAGTCACTCCCAGTGGGCATCCGACAGTGTCTGGAGACAGTTTCGGTTGTCACAATAGGGGGAGGGGAGGGGTGTTATTGGCATCCATGGTTTTTCTAGTGGTGTCTAGTGGTTCTCCCAAACTGTTCTGGGGAGACAGGGAGGATGACATCATTAACTCAGGAGCTGACAAGGAAGAGTGCCCACTCACAGGGCTGCACGAGTAAGGGAGTAAGATGAGCTGATTGGTGGGATGAACTGAGGGCGGGGCACGGAGTGGGCCAACAGTGTCAGTGGCTGTAAAAAAAAAAAAAAAAAAAATCCCAATTCTGGCTGCTGTTGTTGTTTAGCTGTTACTGGTTTTAACTACAGGACATAAAACTGCACCACTTCTTGACTGGTGCAAGCTGGCAGAGGAGAAAGGCGATGTGCCCAGCGGTGACGCGGCCCCAGGAAACATGCAAACACGCTCCGCAGCCCTTACGAGCCCTGCTCCCCGCCCCGACAGTGGCCCGTGCCCATCTGGCACTTCCAAATCGAAGATTTCTGAGCAAAATCCAGATTTCTGGCCTTTCCTGCAAACTTGGAAGATCTCGGAGCCAGATCTCCGGCTGGTTATTGACATCTCCGGGACTCATGTCCCTCTTCTAGGCCATGGGGACAGTGACAGTGCTGGTGCCCACCGTGAGTTAGGAAGTACAAAGCAAACACTCACGACAGCACTAGTCTTCACCGCCCAAAGCGGAAACAATCCACACATCTGCCAACCAACCGGTAAATGCGGAAACTGAACATGATATACACACACCGAGAAGTACTGTTTAGCCACAAGGCGGAATGAAGTTCTGACAGATGCTATGATGTGGATGGGCCTTGAAAACATCATGCTGGGGGAAAGAGTACAGATGCAAAATCTGAAACATCCACAACAGAGAAACCCAGAGATAGAGGACAGATTAGCGGATGCCCGAGGCTGGGAAGAGGGGGATGGGAAGCGAGTGCTTTGGTACGGGGCTTCCTTTAGGGGTGATGGGAATGTTCTGGAACGAGATACAGGTGATGGCTGCACAGCACCATGAATGGACTATAACCCACTGAACTGCAGACTTTAAAATTGTCAATTTCATGTTATGTGGCTTTTATCTCAATTAAAAAAATAACAAAACCTCCCACAAAGCACTTACAACACAGTGTGGCCTTGAATAAGCACTTGATAAACATTAGGTTGGTTAATACTAATGCTTCCAGCATAGATCTTTTTTTCTTCATTGTAACAAGGTGTCTGACTCCGTTTTTTAATGTTTGATGACACCAGCCTCTAAGCCAGGTCCTGTCTCTTCCTCTCCGGCCCCACATCTGGGCAGGCTGATAAGCAAGCCTGGGGGGTGGGGGGTGGGGCTCCCTCCTTTGCTGCTCGTGGGAGATGCAAATCATGGGAGGCCCTGGCCCCAGAGTGGGAACCCTCACTCCAGCCCCACCCCTCAAACAAATAAAAACCCAAACCAGGCGCCTTTCCTTCCTCTCCTCAGGGGGGTGAATAACTGCTTTCCCCCAGAAACCTCAATTATGCAAGCAATTGGTCATGCATATCCTCCATCACCACTCTCAACATTCAAACCAAATTTCAGGGGGAGGGGGTTCCACGCCACCTCTGCAGGACACATAGAACACGCATCATCATCCTTTTCATTCAGCCACCCTGGGCCTGCACTCCCCAACGACGAAGGTGGAGGTGGGGAGTGCCTCTTTACACAGGGCACATGCTTTCCAGTTGGCCACAGTCCCCACCATTCCCAATTGCTCATTCTCGGACTCCTGCACACATTTACCCTACCTGCCCAGCCTCCGTGGGTAGGTAGCTTTGCAGTCCCAAGTCTATAAGAAAGTTGTCCAGAGGCAGGTCTGCAGCTGAGAGATGGCTTCCATTTCCATTCTCAAAAAGGGGTTCCCCTCCCCTTGCCCTGGCTCAAAGACACCCCGGCCCAGCCCAGTGCCTGCCAGCCTGCGGACAGTGTACCTTTATAGAGAATGCCCTGGTCGTCCCTGGTCTGGAGGGGTCCCAGCTTCCAGTGGCGCCCATTCTTGTCTGTCACCACTGTCCCTGTGGGCAGAGCCTCAAGTGAGGAAGTCACCCGGCTCCGCTTCAGTGTCTGCGGGCTTCGCTTGGTCACCTGCGGGCTTCGCTTGGTCGCCTGCGGGCTTCGCTTGGTCGCCTGTGGGCTTCGCTTGGTCGCCTGCGGGCTTCGCTTGGTCGCCTGTGGGCTTCGCTTGGTCGCCTGTGGGATGCTTTTGGGGGTTGGGGGTCTGCTCCAGGACCCTGCAGGAGGATGGTCAGAATAAAGAAAAAACAGCATCCAGGAGAGAAAAGTTGGATGAGTAATAGGACAACGCTTGTCATACAGTTCATTTATTCATTTGCTCATTCAACACACGCTTCCTGGGACCTTTCATGAGTCAGGTCCTTGTGTGATAAAGCTGGAGATCCAGACATGACTCAGACCTGGACCCTTCCCTTGGGAGCCCCTAATTTGGTGGGGGAGTCTGACCTGGACACAGCTGGTCAGAACTGAGTCTGAAACACGGCAGTAAAGAGGAATATGAGAGACTGATAATGCCTTGAGAAGTCAAGAGAGGTTTCCGGGAAGAGGGGACATTTGAGTTGGGTCTTGTTGGATGAGCAGAAGTTTACCAAGGGGAAAAAAGACATTCCAGACATTCAACCAAAGACATCCTGAAACAGGACCTGGCCTTGTGCTGAGTATAAAGAAGGTTCAGAAATTTGTTAGACAGAGACCCTGCCCTTGAGGGGCTCCCAGGCTGGCAAGAGAATGGGATGGCATGGTGAGGAGAGAGGTGTGGACACAAGAAAGGATATTATCTACTCCATTCCTCCCCCGCACCATCCACCCAAGGCACAGAACAGCAAGAGGCAGAGGGGTCTGGAGCATAACAAGGGATGGAGGGGAGGCACCGAGGGCTGTGACTTTAAATCCAAGGGCCCCCTAGGAAGGAGATGGGCACACGGTCCTCAAAACTCCCATGCTCGCTGGCTGGCACCGGGCCTATGCAGATGAGTCTACCTGGTCTCTGCCCACGCAGGACTCTCAGTCCATCAAGTGAAGCAGAAAGGATGAGGGTCCAGGCGGGGTAGGGGATCCCTGAGCAGGGGAACAAAGCCCCAAACTGTCCAACAACCCACCTTTTCCCCATCGAGTCAGGCCAGATTGACCCCAACTCTCACCTTTGGATCTCACAGTACCTTCAGACCCAGAACTGTCACCATCCAGGCAGCGGGATGATGAGGGGGAGGTGACAGAGCTGGACCATTTCACTTTCTTGGAAGGGATTTCAGGACTGGCATTGCTCTGTCTCCTTGAGCCTAGAGGAAGGGAGATCGGATGCAGACTGGGATTACAAAGGCCTTTTCCAGAAACCTCTAAACCAAGAACCCTGAGGGCACATTTGACCACTCTCTTCCCTCTGATCCCTAGAGCCAAGCCTTGCTTCTCCTGTCACCTAAATATCTAAGCAAACTGTCCCTTCATTTTAGTTATTTTTTTTCCCTCTCCTTGGGTCTTGGTGTCTCTTGTGTTTCTTTTATCTGTCATCCTGTTCTCCACTAGGTAATTTCTTCGAACCTATCTTCCGGTTCACCAATTCTCCCTTCAGCTGTGTCTGGTCGGCAGTTAAACCATCCAGCGAGTTTCTGGTTGCCACATGTTTGTTTTTATCATTGTAGGTCTGATTTGGTTCTTTTTCAAATTGATTTGGTTCCTTTTCAATTCTAACTTCTGCTTCTTCACTGTATTTTGAATTTCTTCTTTTATTTCTTTAAACATGTTAAATGTGTTTTGGACATATTCTCATCTGTTAATTCTGAGATCTCTGGTCATTGTGGGTGTGATTCTGTAGTTTGCTGTTTGTCCTGACACTGGCCTTTTCCTGGTATCTTTTTTTTTTAAGATTTTATTTATTCATTTGAGAGAGTGAGCAAGCGAGAGAGCACAAGTGGCAGAGGGAGAGGGAGGAGCAGACTCCCTGCTGAGCAGAGAGCCTGATGTGGGGCTCAATCCCAGGACCCTGGGATCATGACCTGAATTGAAGGCAGACGCCCAACTGACTGAGCCACCCAGGTGTCCTTCCTGGTGCCTTCTGATTGACTGGGAGCTCCTGGTCCTAAGAGAATTCTCTAAGGCAGAGGCAGAGGGAGAGAATGTCAAGCAGACTCTTTGCTGAGCATGGGGCCTGACTCGGGATTCCAACTCAGGACCCTGAGATCATGACCTGAACTGAAATCAAGAGTCGGATGCTTAACTGACTGAGCCACCCAGGTGCCTCCTAAGGCCTGTCTTTAAAGGGTATTCCCCAAGAGAAGGTTTGCCTCTGTTGGAGAGGGGCACCCATACCTCATTGCTTTTACACTAACTTTCCTGCTTGGGTTTTTCTAGGGGCTACATGCATCAGTACAAATTCTGGCCCCAAACTGGTGAGGATGTGAGTTCTTGGTTAGGGATTCTCAGAGAGGACCTTCTTCCATCTTTCACTCACAACCAAGGCTGAGACAGACAAATGTCTTCACCAACTTTCTCCATGGAACTTTTTTTGTTGTTTTTGTTCCAGTTTACCCACTGAGGAGTCCCGGATTTTAAGTTTTCCAATCTCACCTCTTGCACTGTTCAGGCCATAAGTTTTGTCTCTTATACTCCATTAAAACCCAGGCTCGAAACCACCAGTGCCTGGCAAACAGTCCAGGACCACCACCATCCGTGGCACACACTCAGCCCTGTGGGTCTGTGTTTTCTGTTTCTCGTTTCCACGGAATTCACTCACTGAGTGATAGGACCCACTCAGTTCTGCTTTTCAAAACAGATACTTTATATTTTATCCAGCATTTTGTGGTGTGCTGAACCTTAAGGGGCTTTTGCCAATCATTTCATTTACTCTGCCATATTACTAAAAACAGAAGTCTTCTTTCAGTTGCTGCTAACTTAACTAGCATGGCTGGTTCCTGGACTGCTGGAATGAATGGCCTCCTAACTGGTTTCTCTTCTTTCTTTTTTTTTTTTTTAGAGAGAGAGAGCATGCGAGTGCAAGTGGGGGGAGGGGCAGAGGGCGAGAGAGAATCTTAAGCAGGCTCTGCACTGAGTATGGAGCCCAACATGGGGCTCCATCTCACAACCCTGCGTCATGACCTGAGCCAAAATCAAAAGCGAGACACTTAACTGACTGAGCCACCCAGGCGCCCCCACTTCCCACTTTCCAGAGAGATCTTTTCAAAATGCAAATCATATTGTTATCTCTCACTTGGTAGAAACCCTCCACAGCTCCCGACTACATCAGTGATTACTAACCTTACCCATGGTCTACATAGCCCTGCCCGTCTACCCCCAGTCAAGATGTCCGTCTTTATTTTTCCAACATGCATGGCTCCTCCCACCACACGGCCTTTCCCTTTACCATGCCCCAATGCCTGGAACTCTTGTGACTCCCTCACCTCAACCCCACTCTTCACTTACCTAGCTTTTATCATCCCTTGGTCTTGGCTTAAATGTTACCCACTGAGGGAGGCCTTCCTTGATCCTCCCCAGAGAAAAAGCTCCCTTATGTGGGTTCCACGGTCCATCCATTTCCCTTCTGTTATCATATGCTCTCCTGGTAGTTGCTTATTCAATGTCTGTTTGCCCTACTGGCTTCCAAAAGCTCTGAGAAACCAGACACCAGGTACCTATCATGTGTGTTACTACCTCCCTGGGACAGACAGCACCTAAGTACACAGTAGGCAGTCCATGTATATTTGTTGCCTGATGACTGGGTGAATGAATAATGAACTGAGTCCTAGGTTGGCATTAGAGAAGGCTGTGGTTAAAACTCAGGCTCTGGGGGCGCCACTGGTTAAGTGTCCGACTCTTGGCTTCGGCTCAGGTCATGATCTCAGGGTCGTGAGATCAAGCCGAGTCAGGCTCTGCGCTCAGCAAAGAGTCTGCTTGAGATTCTCTCCTCCTGCTCATGCTTGTGTGAGCTCTCTCTCTCTGAAATAAACAAACAAATCTTAAAAAAAAAAACAAAAAACAAAAAAAAAAAACTCAGGCTCTGAACTCAGTGAAGGTAAATACTGTTGGCATCTGTCTGGAATGCAGAAAAAATATTGGAGATGAAGAGCCATCTTGAAAACTCAAGGCAATAAGCATGGGGGGGAACCCATCTCCTCAGGATGGCTGAGCAGAAAGACAGGAGGAGCCTGGGTCCCTTGTGGCATCACAGGGACACCATTCCTCCACTGGACTGGCCCCTGCAGACTTTTTTAGTATGGAAAAAAATAAAGCCATTTTTTTTTTTAACTCTTGAGGAAGCATTTTTCTGTTACTTGCAGCCAAATGCAATCTCAAATGATAAAATGTCATGTATGCCGAATTCCTTCTGTGGCCTTCAGACAAGTAAACTCACTTTGATTTTTCAATGCAGGACCTGTGGTTGGGCTTTCCATTGGCCAGGACCCACAGCTGATATTTCATTCATTCAGTCTGTCAATCAGTGAGATTTCTCAGCACCCAACTCTGCCAGGTCCTGGGTGCCAAGCAAGACAGCAGTGAGAGGTGAAGGAGGGACGGACCAGGAGGTGGCAGAAGTGGGCTGACTGGGCATCGATTTTGAAGGGAGAGCGGACAAGATTTGCCAGAGGGCTGACGTTGTGGGGTGGAAGAGAGAGGCCTAAAGGATAATGACTGCAGGGTCTGGTCTAAGATTACCATTCCACGACTCAAAGTCCACGGAAGGCACAGATAGGCAGGTGGCAGTCACATCAGGAGCTCAGCTCTGGGCATGCGTGGAGATGCGTATGGGACACACAACAGGTGTGGCAGGCAATCTGATATGCACCTATGAATTTGGATTTCAGGGGAGGAGTCCAGGCTGGAGACAGAAATGTGTGAGTTGTCAACTTTAAAGCCACGAGGCCGATCTGATGCCAAGAAACTGAGTGTAGACAGAGCCTGAGTCCTGGGCAGCTCTGGGATCAATGCAGGGTCAGACAGCCTGCAAAGGCGACTGTCCTCCCTCTCCAAATGCACGCATGCACACATGCACTTATCATCCCTCAGAGGCCTGGTTCTTACCTCGGAAGGATGATGTAAGCGGTCTGACAAGGGTCTGGGGACTTTCATGCTCAAAACATGGCTCAGACAAAGATTTTCCGCAGTAGGGGCAGAATCTGAATGCTGCTTCCATACTTTTGCCACAGTCTGGACAGAAGGTGATCATGCTAGGAAACAATGGGTGGAGGGAGGGAAAAGGAAGCTGAAAGCAAAACTGAATGCACCACCAGTAAGTTGTCATCTGAGCTCCCCGTAGTGACGGGATTGCAAAAAGGAGGGAAGTTATCCCGTTGGAACAGACTCTCTTAGGAAGTGGCCACTTCAGAAATGAGTTCCTGCCCACTGCATCCAGCCTCTAGCCATGCATCTCTCCCTTGTGGTCCAGGGTGGGTAAAAAGCAGAAAAATGCCACGTGAAACTGCAGGTTTCACAGGAGACATGGGAATGCCTCGGAGTCCAGGGAAGTCATGCAGGAGATTTGCTCCAGTCATGGGAGCACGGAGGGTCTCCCGCCATTATCCGTGATGTTCATTTTTTGAAACACACAACAGGGATCGGAGAGACAGTGAATGTTCTCCAATCAGCTACATGCTCCCCTACACTTCCCAGGCTCCCCCTGCCCCCACCCTGCAGTTAGACTGGGGCCATGTGACTAGTTCTGGCCAATGGTGTGCGAGTGGAAGTCACTTCCCAGCTGAGGCGGTTAAGAGCTGGATGGCCTCCTCCGTCCGCGCGTCCACAGCATGGAGGCCTCTGGGAGCCACACGCTCCGGGTGGCATAGCTGCAAGATGGAAGAGGGTGGCCTGGTCCACACTGGAATCTCATGATCAGCAAATGAACTTATGTTGCGTGAAGCCACCAGGACTTTACAGTCGTTAAAGCTATACAGCCCGTCTTATCCTGACGTACTTAGACACATCATCTTCTAGACCTTGTGTGTCTCTGGAATATTTCCTAATACTTGTAAAAATCAAAACCAAAGTCACACACAGAGCCCATTACAAATGAGGACAGGGCAGGAGTATTCATTTACTTAGATTGCCGTCCCTGAACACCACCCACTGGGTGGTTTCAATGACAGGAATTTATTTTCTCAGTTTTTTTTTTTTTTAAAATTTTATTTATTTGAGAGAGAGAGACACAGCGAGAGAGGGAACACAAGCAGGGGGAGTGGGAGAGGGAGAAGCAGGCTTCCCACCGAGCAGGGAGCCCGATGTGGGGCTCGACCCTGGGATCATGACCTGAGCTGAAGGCAGATGCTTAACCGGCTGAGCCACCCAGGCGCCCCTATTTTCTCAGAGTTTTGGAGGCTAGAAGTGTGAGATCAAAGTGTGAGAATGGGGTGCCTGGGGGGCTCGGTTGGCTAAGCATCTGCCTTCAGCTCAGTCATGATCCTGGGGTGCTGGGATTGAGCCCCACATCGGGCTCCCTGCTCAGCGGGGAGTCTGCTTCGCCCTCTCCCTCTGCCCCTCACCTCTGCTCATGCCCTCTCTCTCAAATAAATAAATAAGTGAAGTCTGAGAGCAGGAACATAGAGGAGATGGAACAGGAGCAAGCTGTGGGTGGTGAAAAGGCCTTAAGGGGCATGTCCCTGAGGGGATGGTACCTTTTATGGGGTCACGGTCTGGCCCTCAGATTCACTGGGCTGGCAAGTCCATCTTAACGGTATCCTGTAAGTGAATAAAAGTGGAGAGGTTGACTCAGGCCCACTTCACATATGAGTGGAAGATAATGGTTAGTGTTTATTGATCATTGGCAACATAGCCAGCATGTGCTAAGTTCATTCATTCATTCATTCATTCAGTAATCACTCACTGACTCCTGATATGTGCTAACCACTGAGGATACAGTAGCGAAGGCAACAAACAGGCTCTTGACCTGGGGAAAGTTCACATTCTAGTGGCAGAAAAGGAAATTAATAAACAAATGAGCAATTGTTTAATAGGTCAGATGAAGGTAGTGCTATAGTCAACGCTCAAGAAATATGGATGCAGGAAGGGAGTCTCAAAGTGAAGTCACCTGTCCAAGGTCACATGGCTAGGACTTAAACCCAAGGCTCCAACACTCAGGGGTCTTTATCATCCATCCACCGATTTATTTTATTTATTCAACAAACATTTACTGAACATCTGTTATGTGTTAAGAATTGCGTCCCTCCTAGAATATTCTCAGCCACAGGACAGCAAAAGAGCTAAGGGCTGGACTCCACCTCCCCGCAGGAGGGACAAGTGTCCAGATGACCAGGATTCGCCTAGGCCCCGCCCTCCAGAGAAACCAGGGATGACGTAGTGCCAAGGAGGGGCATCTGTCAAGCTCTCCACTAGCTCCGCCCACCTCCGTCGTAGTCACGACTACCAAGAGCCCACAGTGGCTTGCAGGGGTGGCAAGGGTAGGTCGCTTATCCCGGCGACCAGAAGTTTCTTTCATCGAGACCCCAGCCCCCGGGGACTCTGTCTCCCAGAAAGGATCGTGCTGACGTCACAGGCACCGCAACTGGACTGTGGTTAGTGGATCGGGAGACCTCCTCCTGTTCCGCCTCACTTTCCCCTCACCTCTGGACTCTGTGAGCGGGATGGGGAGCCAGACGTCTGCGGCCAAATTCTCCAACCCTTCTCGGAGAGTAGGACTCACCTTCTTTGTTGTCCCGCGCAAACTTCCGGATGGCGGAAAGCGCTGCGCGCGCATCCTCCACCCGGGAGGACAGCGCCAGCGCAGGCGCTGATGACCGCCAGACCGCCCTCGGGTCGTGCCGGGGAGGGATTATTTCCTCAAGGTCCACCCCAATTCCACCCTCTTTTGGAAGGCTCCTTGTTCTACTGCGCATGTGCCAATTTAGAGCCAATCGTAAGGAGGGATGAACTACGAGCCATCTCTCCGCCTATCAGAGAGAGGTCATATTACCATTTTCCCGCCTCACCTCCGCCCCTTACTTCCAAGCGTCTTTTCAGGAACTGCCTTCTCAACGCGTTTCCATGGCAACCCTCCGTCGCTTTCAAGCCGGAGTGCGCTGATTAGATTGTCGTTCAACAGGGTAAAAACTGGACTACAATACCCACACGCCACCTGGTCCCGATTTTGTTTCTACTCTATTTCCCAGAGTGCTCAGCGGAACCTGTAAGGCCGAGGAAGCGGGTGGAGATAGGAAGACAAGGGGCGGAGCCCGCACAGTCTTCTGGGAAACGGAGTCCTCGAGCTGGCGCGGAGTCTCCTGGGTGGAGTAGTTTGAGGCAATTCACGCGACGCCGGAAGTGGTTACGAGGCGCTAGTGAGAGGTGTTGGGTCAGCGTTTCCTTCCCGGCGGGAGTCGCGTCTGTTAATCCGGCGGACTGCAGGCTTCAGGTGAGGAGACGACGAGGCTGGCGTCGCTGAGTACTTCGGAGGCTTGGGGGCTCGGTCCTTCCTGAGGGGTGACGGAATGCTCACGGGGCGATTTCGGCAAAGAGCGCGCCGTCTTGGGCGGTAGGTGTCTAGGTGAGGTCTTGAAGGCTGTCTTGTTTAGAGCCTGTTCTGGGCCGGGCTTTCGCTGAAACGGTTTCCAGTCCTCACCGGAGCCCTTGAGAGGAGCGGTTAGATTTTATTTTGAGTGAGGAGTCTGAGGCCGAAGGAGTGGTTGAGTTGCTCGAAGTTGAAGCGAGGCAAATCTCGAGGGATGAATGAATGGGAGGACTTCTTCACGAGGTCGAAGTATTTCACATTCGAGCGCCTCCTGTGTGCCAGCCGCCGCGCTGTTCTCGGATTTCCTTCTGTGATCGCAGCAGCGCTAAGTGCAGCTCCTCGCTTTTATCGGCTCCCTTGGCAGTATCTCGGGAATCACATATTTTCATAGTTTAGAAAGTTAAAAGGGTGCATATTTCATAGTTAGTCAACACGCCAGAGGGATCTGGGGCAATTCTTGGAAATTGATGATTTCTGCTGGGAAAGGCGTGAATCTTCACACTATACGCATCCTGTGGCGATTGGGGTTCGTTTTGCTGTCAGTTTATGAATAAAGTTCTGGTTTTCAGAACTTTTTTGGTTTTTAGAATGAACAGATACGGGACTGTGGGTCTGTTTCATCTGTCCCATTTTGTACATGTGGAAACCAGGCACAGAGAGCGTGAATGATCTAGATCTAGCCATGGCCCCACACTAAGCAGCAGCAAGACTTCCCAACTCCAGGGCCCAAGATTTTTCAGTCCTGTAATTGTTCGGCTCAAGTTATTCTGACAGGCTGGGTGACCTTGAACTTCACAGTCGGGCTCCTGTTTCTTCTGTCCCATGGCTCAAAGTGTATGAGATATGGACAGAACGTGATGTGAAAACTGTAGACGGAGGTCTCAAGCTCAGATGTCTCTGAGAGTCAGGCAGATAAGTTAAAGGAGAGAACCTGTCTGGAGGAGGGCTGTGGGGCATCAGGGAGCACTTGCCCCATCTAAGGGGGGGTCGCTTTAAGTAGGCACCAACTGACAGATCAGCAGGCCAAATCTAGGATTTTTTGGACACTGGAAATATAATTTTTAAGCAAAATAACTTTGAGACTACTTAAAATAATTTATTTCAAAACCTCCTATCTGCCAACACTGTGGGCAAAACAAAAACAAACAAACAAAAAAACACCACATCTGTGGACCAAATTATACTCACAAGTTGAGGCTTAACCTCCATCATGTGAGGAAAACACTGATGAGTAAATGTTAGCACTTACAAGTCTGCCACATTGCCTAATCTGCAATCAAAATCTGGAAAGTCCTGAAGATCATATTTTTCCATAAATTTGGTGTCCAGACCTGACTGGAACTGCTAAAAGTGATAACCTTTAATTATCCTACCTAGAGTGAATATTTATACCCTTTACTCTAGAAATATCGACGTGTTCAATTACAAAATGCTGCTTGTCCCACACTGCACTGTGATTTTAAAGAAATATATTGTATATATGGTATATCACCTTCCAAAAAATCTGAAAATTTCTGAACTTCAAAGCACATCTGGCTCAAGAGCCTTAAGACTTGTGGACCGGTCATTATGACAATCCTGCTGCTTTGTGATAGGGGTATTTTCATCACTTCATAGATACGTGCTGATTAGGAAGTTCACAGGGCTACCGATGTGTAAGTAGCCCTATGGTACAGTATTTTGTATATTATAGGTCATGAAAATGGCTCAGTGGGCAGTGGCCATAATCC